TATACATATATATAAACAATCAGCAGTAAAATCAAGGACACGCAAATGACTTTGATTTTGCTGCAATTTTGAGCAATGGCAGCTAGAAGAAATGTGTTATTTATGGAACTTCATTTCTCATTTCTAGGAAAAGCAGCAAATGAGAACATACGATAACAAACAGTAATTTAAAGGAGACAGAAATGTGTTTTGAATGATCTCTCCAATGTCACAGAGAGGCCTGTTAGAAACTTGACACTGTGATTATATCTGAAAATGGGCTCTCTGAATTTAAAAATAAACAATAATTTCCTGTGTGTGCTGTACGAGCAGTAAGCGTTAAGAGCACTTGGCAGTCTTATTATCAATGTGGGTCTTTAAAATTACTCTTCCCACTTCATCAAAAATCCAATGGAGAGTAACAAATTTCTTCAAAAGCATCTCAAGCTGTTTAGATTGACAGCTCAGGTTTGTAATATTTAGCAGAGCTGGGTTTTATCACAGTAATTGTGCGGCAACCCCAGGGAGGGTGAACGTTATAAAGTGGTATTCTAGAAGGCAATGACAACGCGACCTTTAGCAAATCTGCTTGAATTTATTGTGATAGACATCTGCTCTGAGCACAGTGATTTGTTCAAACACCTGTGGCTAAATCCAAGCCTGTGACCTGCAGTGGCAGCCCGACATCACAAAGGGACACAATTGCATCGGTTGTCATACGTTCAGCTTCACGACAGATTTGATTCATTACAGCTTACAGAGAGCAGTTCCAAAATAGTGACAGAGCATCAAAGTCTTTGGAGAGTCAGAGAATTATTTAGAAGACTCTTTTAAGAGATTTTTAATGTTGGCAGCTCCCAAAAGAGTGGAGATGTCGATTTCTGAGATCCACTTTTGATTTCACTTTAATCTTATATTTATAGTGCTAAGGCATATACAATGAGGTGAAGTCAAAGTTGGCATCTTGGATCGGGCAAAAATGTTTAGTTCAAAATGGTTTATGCAAAGACTTTAGCTAATAATTTAATTAATATGAATATGTTTTGTTTTATATTGTGAACCTCCCTGCACTTTGACGAGCAAAAAACTCAACTTAAAAATGTCCATGTTTTAATATCAAATTTCAAGAATGTGATATTAAGATAAAAATAGCTTTATATATGTCACAAATTCAGCCTCTGTGGCTCCCTCCGATCACCACCAGAGGGAACCATCACCGGAATACTGAGCTATCCTTTCGGACTCCAATTCCCACAATGCCCCGTGCCAGAGACTATCACCTGCACAGGTGTTTCCTATTGCCCGGTCTATTTAAACTGTGCCTTCCCTGCTCTCATTGCGAAGTCTTGTTTTGCCTTGCAGACATTTCTGAGCAGTTTCCCTGTGTTGATTATCTGTTGATTACCTGGACTGTTTACCCGTTTACGATTGCTTGTTGCCTACCTCTTCTGACCCTGCCTGCCTTGTTGATTCATGCTCTTGTTTGTCTGCTGCCTGCCTCGACCCTGATCACGAACACTGTTTACGATTCTGCCCAGCCTTCGTTGTGTCTCACACCTGTTACCGATCTATGCCTGTACGACCTGCCTTGTGAACTAATAAAGCTGCACATGGATCATAACGCCACTGCCTCTTTGTTACAATATAAGCTTTTAAATAAGCCTGTCCAACCTGCTCTATTAAGTATTTCATATAGGAGAAGTCGAGGACAAGCTTAACTCATTTATTCTATTCTCACTGAAATATTCCTAGTTAGTAATCTGAATTTTAACCTCATTCGCTTTGTTGTTGTAACAGCAATTGTAACCTTGCAATAAAATCCTTGACTTGGTGTTATGAAATTCTACTTGATCGATATTGGAAAAGGTGATTTAAGGTTATTTTCTTGTCCAGCAAACTGTCTGCCACAAGGGAGATTACTGTTTGGCCCAATAATCGTCTCATGGGCCCTCACCTCCTCTTCATTCAGGCTGCTGTCATTGTGGCATAACTGACTCATTGGGGGCCATTGTGAGAACTCATCAGGGGGGATAGCCCACGTTTCTCATCAGGGAGCCGCTCTATGCCTTTGATGTCTTTTCATCTGTCATGGTGTCTTTTTGCTCAGCAAGGCAATGATCAATGCAAACAGATTTAATCTTTTTAAGGGAATATGCTGCACAGCACTATAAATGTTTGAATCCATACAAGAGTTTGATTCATTTTTATTCTAGCAACATGCAGTTCAAGATGGTACTGCAACTGGGAGAAAAGGGGGGGGGAAGTGCTTTTGGGCTTCACTGAACTGGAAGATCTGCTTCTGACAAATTTCACAGTTTATTAAACTGAAAGGAGAATTTACTGAAAAATATGCACAAACAACTGCCGGTATGAGACGTTCATTATTCACAACAGTATGTTGATAGGAAGTGACTAATTCTAAAACATAAAAGAGGACATGATGGTTTTACTGCCATTTATCCAATTTATATGAATACAAAGTACATTAAAACTAATACTGTGTATATATACAACTTAATTTCACCATAAAAAAAGCTAAATTAGCTATTATATGAATTTAGAATTTTTTCAGATAAAAGTAAAACATTTTATTAGTCAAAGTTTAATTTAGCTTACTTATTCTGAATAAAGACAACTTTAAAAGACCTTAATGCTTATTCTGATGTCTTTTTAAAATATGCATCATATTTTCTGTTATGTGCCAACATAAAAAAAAAGAAAGAAAAATTAATAAAACTCACAATAATTTCCGCAGTCAGTAAGTTCAGGTGTCAAGCTAAAATACTATTTAAACAGAATTGCTTCTTTTATTTTATTCTTTTCCCCTTTGGCTAGTGCTATTTTTAGTTTTTTTCTTTTAACATTGTATTCAGTTTGCATAGAAAACGTCTCGGGTTACGACTGTAACCCTTGTTCCCCGAGAAAGGGAACGAGACACTGCGTCGGTAACGACACTAGGGGACCCCCCTCAGCGTAGCGCGTCTGAAGCATGAATGAAACTATTCCAATCCTGATCGGTGTTGCGTCATGACGTAACATGTGACGGCATAGTCGGAAGCTACAAAGGGACGCCGGCACACAACAGAGTCAGCTTTTGCGATGAAGCAAGCCGCTCCCAGGCAAGGAGAGGTGTGGCAAAGAGAAGCAGTGTCTCGTTCCCTTTCTCGGGGAACAAGGGTTACAGTCGTAACCCGAGACGTTCCCCCTCGAGGGAACTCACACTGCGTCGGTAACGACACTAGGGGAACGGATACCCACTATGCCACACCAAAACATGCCTGTCCTAGTGTGAAACTGAACCAGGCCCAACTTAGGAAGAGAGCACTCGTGCACCCGGCGTGGAGGGAAGGTTCAGGCTATAAAACCTGATGAAAGTATGCGGGGTGGACCACCCAGCCGCATCGCAGATCTCCTGCAACGGGACTCCTGACAGGAGGGCCCTAGAGGACGCCATGCCTCTAGTAGAGTGGGCCCTCAAAGCCACAGGTGAAGGCAAACCGCGTACCAAGGCAATAGCCTGAACAATCCAATTACTAATTGTCTGCTTGGAAGCAGGAAGTCCCTTCTTGGGTGATCCAAAGCACACCAACAACTGTTCTGACCTCCTCCAATGAGAGGACTTCTGAATAAAGATGTTCAATGCTCTGACAGGGCAGAGCAGATGAAGCCTCTCTTCTTCCGCCGACACATGAGGCGGAGGATGGAAGGCCTGAAGAACCACCGGCCGTGCCCTATTAGATGGCACCTTGGGCACATAGCCAGGCCTAGGGTGTAACATGGCCTTAGAAATATCTCGCCCCCTGCCTGAGACAGCAGGTCCCTCCTCAGAGGAATCTGCCACGGCTGGCCTGCCAGGAGTGAC